GGCTCCAGGCTCTGAGCTGTCAGCGCAGAGTCTGATGCGGGGCTTGAAACCATGAACTTTGAGATCATTCCCTGAGCTGAAGTCGGATGCCCAACCGACTGAGCCACCCCAGGCGCCCCAAAAATCACATGTTCCGATGGGGCTTGCATGTACATATATAAAGACAACACAGGGGCCCAGGGGCGCCTGGGTGGCTCAGTCAGTTAAGTGTCCGACTCTTGATTTTGGCTCATGTCCTGATCGCATGGTTCATGAGATCAAGCCCTGACTGGGGCTCTGCACTGACAGCAAGGAGCCTGCTTGGAATTGTCTCCTTCCCCGTCTCTCTGCCCTTCTTGTGTGCGTGCTCTCTCTCTCTCTCTCTCAAAATAAGTAAACATTAAAAAAAAGACAACTATAGCATAAATAAGTGAAGATCAATTGAAGTGGTAAAATATTGGTTCTAGACTGCAAAAAGTTAACTGTATATTTTGCAATCTCTTCAGAAGCCCTTAAAAACTATACAGAGAGATAGAGTAAAAGATCACCACAAATAAATTAAAATTGAATTCTAAAACAATGTTCACACAACCCAAAAGCAGGCAGGAAAGGGGAAACAGAGGAACAAAAAATACAGAGGGAAGGAAGAGAAAACAACTAACAAAACGGTAGATCTAACTCAAAACATATTAGTAATTACAGTAAATGTAAATAACCTAAACACATCAATTAAAATATTTTCAAGATGATTTAAAAAAAATCCAACTATCTGCTAGGTATAAGAAACTCACTTCAGATATAATGATACAGATAGTGACTAAGTGAAAGGATAGGAAAATCTACACCATGCAAATATTGATCAAAATATTAGGCGACCCTGACGACATCTTTATTTTGTCTCACAAAGTGCCACAGAACTGGGGCGCCCGGGTGGCTCAGTTGGTTAAGCGTCTGACTCTTGATTTTGGCTCAGGGCATGATCCCAGGGGCATGGGATTGAGCCTGCATCAGGCTCTGAGCTGAGTGTGGAGCCTGCTTAAGATTCTCTCTCCCTCTCTCTCTCTCTCTCTCTCTCTCTCTCTGCCCCTCCCCTGCTCATGCTCTCTTTCTTTAAAAAAAAAACGAATAAAACATTAATAATAAGAATAACAAGAATAATAAATTTAAAAAACAAGGGGAGTTGGATGGGACTATATTCTTCAAACATGGCAGTGTCATAAAAAACAAGAAAGGCTATGTACTGTTCCCAACTAAAGAAGATTAAAGAGACATGTCAAGTAAATGCAATACATAATCATAGACTAGATCCTGTGCCAGAGGGGAAAAAATGCTATAAAGGACATTATTTGGTTAATGGCCAAACTGGAATATAGATAGTACATCAGATGAAATTGTACCAATGTAATTTTTTAATGTTTTGTTTAATGTTTATTTATTTTTGAGACACAGAGAGAGCACGAGCGGGGGAGGGGAAGAGAGAGAGGGAGACACAGAAACTGAAGCAGGC